GTCCATAGTTTGTGCCCTGTATACGACTTAAGGTCTCATCATCCTTCAGATGTCACACCCCATCTCCTCCATCGGGAGCGTTAGATGGGAAGGTCACAGAGGTCACACAGCACTCCTCTTTACAAAACTTGTTAGGGGAGATTTTTCTGTGCTGATTTTGGACCTATTTGTTTATTGATTATTGACCTTCCTAGGATTAAGGTTCATTAAGAAAGGGATCATGGTTTCCTGTCTCATCCCAGACCATAGCACACTGATCAGCTCAGGGATAAATATACTGTAGATATTGGTTACGTAACACTATCGTGCCAACGAGGAGAATAATCACTGCGTAGTTGAAATCAAATGGCATTACAGAGGTTTACAGGACCCAAAAGGAACATAAATGCTGGGTTAATTTAACTGAGGACACAGCCAGTTATGGTTAGAGGACCTTAGGAGGTTTGTGTTTATTAAGGGAAAATGAAAACAAGAAGGAAGACAGTATTTATGCCCTGGTAGTGTGCTAGATTATAAGACATGAATTTTAAAAAGAGCTGAGTGGACTGTAGGGAAGGTAAGGGTAGATTTAGAATTGTAAGGTTATGGGCCACTAAACAGACCCATTGATAAGATGATAATGCTAGAAATACTTTCTTTAAGAGCAGGTCAGAACTATATACTTTAAGCAAAGGAAGACATAAGATATGTATGAGGCAACGTTTGATATAGGAAGCTAAAATTACTTGAGATATTTTGAGCATACCACAATTTAAATGGGGACTAACTAATTAAAAAATGGTGGTAACAGGCAGAGAGATGAACTCCAAGAGCAGTGTCTGGGGATACCTATGAATGTGTCTCAATATCTAGTTTCTCTCTCTCTCTCTCTCTCTCTCTCTCTCTCTCTCTCTCTCACACACACACACACACACACACACACACACACACAGAAAGACAGAGAGAGACAGAGAGAGACCCAAACACTACATTAATGCCTAAGGGCAAGGGATTATAGACTTCAACCCACCCACAGCACTGACCACTCTTAAGTCCATGATGATCTGCTAGTTGATGCAGAGTTAAGAGTCATTGAACAAAGTTGGTAAGAAAGAAAATGTCACTGATCACTAAGCCCCAGTCTACGGCATCTGAACTAACACAGTCCTGTCTCAGAGACAGGAAATTCAGCAGACTTCACAGAGAACTGTCTCCTTCCAGGTCAGCGTATAATCATATATTCCCTTTGAAGTAGATGATCGATGTGTTTTTAAAAATTCCCCAGAAGTTGCACTTATACTGTGTCGTATTTAACTCCTTATTTGGCTCTGCAGACTCACTGTACCTTCTGAATTATTTCCCTCCTAAGGAAATGAGAAAGAATTACGGGGAGAACAAGTCCTAACTTCTGAAACTGTATGATCATCATGTTTGAGTTAATCAAAATCACCCCTAAATATTGGATGTGATCACCACAGTTTCATAATTTTAAAATATCGGAAGGGAATATCGCCTATGGGCATTACCTTTCCAAGGTAGTAGCATGCACAGCCGCTAATCGCCAAACCCATTCATCCAGTTTACGTAACGCCATAGCCAGCCTACTGCCTACATCCCAGCCTACCTTCTGCTTTTTACAGTCCTTCCATTTGGACTAAAATTCAGGATCCTTGCCAGTGACATCCACCTCCAATGTTTTCAGCGTTGCTACCATCACCCTGGCAACACAGGAGACAGGACATAAATAGTTGTTCTGCCAAATGTGTCTATTGCCTTATTATGCTTGTGGGAGTAAGCGTTGCCAAGGGGAGTTTAGACAAAAGTTAAAAGTAAATTTTAACCTATAAATGGCAAGATATTGTAAAAATGCACTGATGTTCTATTTATTTAAACAAGAATATGAAAATGAGAATGAAGTATAAACTCCATTACGATTGAGAAAAATCCATGTCTTTTTTCTTAGCATCAATACCAGCAAATCACCAATAAATACCTATAAAATTGATGAATTTTTTTCTAATCAAGTATGCATTTTAAAAATCAAATCTGAAAGTTTAACAAAATTTGTCATTACTTTAGTAACTTTAAAATCAAGGTTGGCTTGTAGTTCAACTGGGAGACAGTTTCCCTAATGTGTATGAAGTCCCGGATGTCACTCACCGCACTGCCTAGACCATGTAGGGTGGCACACACACCTCAAGCCCAGCACCAGGCAGGAAGAGGGAGGAGAACCAAAGGACAGGCTACATAATGAGTTTGAAATAATACGAGACCCTGCAGAAAAAGAAAAATATCAAAACCATAGTCTAGAATATTTTTGACATCACAGAATTCTTCTTTTTTATTGATTTTTATTGCACTCTACTTTTTTCTCTGCTCCCCTCCGTGCCTCTCCCCTGACTCCTTCAATCCTCCCCCAAGGACCCCATGCTACCAATTTTCTCAGGAGATCTTGTCTTTTTCTACTTCCCATGTAGATTAGATCTATGTAAGTCTCTCTTAGTGTCCTCATTGTTGTCTAAGTTTTCTGGGATTGTGGATTTTAGGCTGGTTTTCTTTGCTTTGTGTTTAAAAACCACTTATGAGTGAGTATATGTGATAACAGTCTTTCTGTATCTGGGTTACCTCACTCAAATCACAGAATTCTTAATAGCCGCAAAGTGGATTCATTATGTAGTTAGCGCTAGGGATACGAGATGATGCGACTATTCTGGCACAATGTCACTGGCCACCTTGACCACTAGATTGCTAAAAGCAGAATAGATTCTTCTTTACGTGACACGTAGTCTCCCGTTCCTTACCCCGTAGCATGTGTGATAGGTATTTTGCTAAGGGGGTCAACAGAATGCAGGATGATCCTTCAGCTAGTCAGGGTAAAATCAGGCCCACCCTAAAGTGTTGGTTACCGGGTCACATGATAATAATCTTTACAACCCCCAGTGCTCCCCTGAGCCTTTCTGGAGTGAGGTCACACTGTAGTGCCAACCCACCTCTACTCTCTTCAAATCTCTGCCATCGGTGTTCCTTACCAGCGGTCTTGGTCACCTCCCCCACAGTCTCGAGAGTTTCTATTCTCAGCGGGGAGTGACTGTGGGAAGAAAAGCAGCAGGCGGTTCCCATGCTGGTCCCCAGGATAGCTTCTGTGGAAGCAGAACTGATTTTAGGAAAGATCCACATGTGTAGTGTGTTTGCATCCCTTCAGGAAGGACGGTATAGCAGAGAGAGGCTCCTGTGGAAACACAGGCGCACTGCTGACCTTCCCCCTGAGGAATCGCGAGACAGGGTAGAAATCGCGAGGGGTCTGGGAGTAGGGAGACCACGTCTCCATCCCCTCTCCCACATTTCCCTTTCTCTCACTTGGGCACATGACTTTGAGTCTGACTTTTCTAGTAAAATAAAATGCAAAATCAGAATAATTAATAATAATCTATGGCTTTCAGAGATACTAAGGCTCAAGTTGGTGAAGGGTGAAGCCATTGGCAAACAGAGGGCTGTACAAGAACAGTCTTGACTTGCACAAGGACACTGCATTGACACAAGTCAATGATGGAATCTACAACACAATGTTGGTCTTGTAAGAAGACATCAGTAGTGGAATGGTGGCAGTCTTATCGTGTGTGAATGCATTCTATGATGTTTTTACATATCACAAAATCCACGTTTCCTTAGAAGGATTATGGGAGTTTCACAAATACTGGGGAAGATGATTACTTTTAGAAGGATTTAAAATGTTGGTATCACAACAAAAATAACACAAAAACAACTTTAGAGGTCTGTGAAAGAACAAATGATATCATCTTGAGCAACTAAAATAAAATACCCTAGTCTAGACAAGTTAAATAGCAGACTTTCCCCTTTAGACTTCTAGGAGGTGGGAATTCGAGATGAAGGTTCATCTAGCATTCATTTGTCTTGATAGGGGTCTAGTAGGCACTGTCCTCTGGACTTGTAGATGGCTACCATCTTCCTGTGATATGAGATCTATCAATAGATAGATTAGATAGATAGATAGATAGATAGATAGATAGATAGATGATAGATAGATAGATAGATAGATAGATAGATAGATAGATAGATGAGATAGGTAGATAGATATGTTACTTATGAACATAATGATACAATGAACATTATGGGCATCTTAGGATAGAATACAGTCATAGGATAGTGTACTGTCATTTCTTATAAAGTTCTAATTACAATAACATCATGTATACCCCACCCTCAAGACCTCATCTGAACTGAAGTTCCTTTCAAAGGTACTTACCTACATCATCATCACCTTAGGAGCTGGGGCTACTGGGTCTGGGCTTTGGAGAAGCCATCCACGAACTCCAACCACAGAAGAGAGAGAACACCAAGACTGGCTCTTAAATAGAATGGAGTTGATGATATTTATCCCATTAAACTAAACTTCCTAAACTATTGTGTTTGCTTCTCTAAATGCCCTTGAAAACATCTCACAACACAGAAATGAATTCCATCTTCTGGTGGAAAAAATATAAATGTAAAGACTCTATGCATGAAAACACAAAACTGAATCCTAGCTACCGTTCTCCACAACAGTCACTGTGGTGAAAAGATGCCGAAGTTATGAAACCGAGAGAGCAGTATAAGGAATAAACTGAAGACCGGCACACAGCAAGGGAAACATGCGCAAAACAAAAGCACAAAGGAGAAAAAGGATGAACTGTAAACGGGGAGGGAGATCCAGTAGAACCTTAAATATAACAGCAGGCAAGCGGATTTCGGTGAATCCGAGGCCAGCCTGGTCTACAAGAGCTAGTTTCCAGGACAGGCTTTCCAGCTACACAGAGAGACCCTGTCTCAGAAAACCAAAACCAAAATAACAACAGCAGCAGCAGCAACAGGAGGAGGAGGAGGTGCCAATGGATACCAGAGGCGTGGTCAGCTGGAAAACTGACTCAAGAATAGACACGCCTTTGGAGGGGTAGGAGACTCGAGCATCCGCTTCCGGGATCAGGATTCAACAAAGACTTTATGGGTGGACAAAACTTTAGTGTGTGTGTGATGTGTGGAGAGGTTTCAAAACTTCACCTCCAGTCAGTAACAAGAATTTGAAATCTTTCCTTATTAGACACAGAGCCAAGGTCCACCAGATGGCGCCAAAACTATACGCGGCTCAGTAAGATGCATCCAGAGGCCAACACTGGAAATCGGGAGTCCACTTCAACAGGTCAGTCCCTCGCCCTAACTAACAAGAAACGACTCTTATTCTGGGCAGTTGAATTTTTAAAGCACGTTTTCCGAATTCCCACGAGTTTTTTTTTTCTATGGTTACAGTCATTCTCTTAGCTCATCTTTCTCTTTCCTTTTGGAATAGAAAGGAAATAGGTATGTTAATCTGTAGGTGCAAGTTGGAGGTCTCAGAACTGGAGAAGGCGACACACAAGGAGTCCAGAGCCAGCCTGGGCTCCTGACCGTAAAGTAGAGAAGCTGAACTCCTCATTTCTTCCAATTTTCCTATTTTTAAATTTTAAGAAAACCAAGGGAGATTTTTTTTTTATAAATTCTCAGAGCAGAGCCAATAGGATGGTGTCAATCACTAGCAACGGTCACCCTATTGTTGACTAAACTAGCTAAGCAGTACCCGTGTGCTGTGTTGTTATGGGTAGCATTCTCCAAAGGATGCTAGACCACAAAAAGCAGAACAAGCCCCGGACATTCAGCATTCTTCTTGGAGAATTATTAGAAACAATTAGAAATGATTGGAGCTATTAGAAATCTGCCTCTCAGAATTTTGTCTAAGATGAACACTTTTATGGATAAATCACACTTCTTATTTATTTATTTATTTATTTATTTATTTATTTATTTTTGCCTCATTTCAAAAGAGCAGGAGCCTTCCAAGTTTAGGCTGCCTGTTAAGATTAAGTATCAATGGGCAATGGGGAAGGGTTTACCTCTGGGCTTTAGTGTTTCTGTGATGGTTTTCACACCCTACTGATGGGTAGGAACCCAGATGTTATTAAACCTCTTTAATATTCAGTATGCTGTTACAAAACCAATTCCCAAGCAACAAGAGTACAAAGTTGCTGTATGTCTACTTACATATATACATGCAATTGTAAAATAGTTTCTTAAGTGCTGAGCTGAACGTTGCCCCGAGAGAAAAAGAAACCAGAAACATTCATTGTGAAAATGAGAAATCTGCGGTATAGAAAGAACTGGTTGAGAACGCCGGCTGAGTAGCAGGGAGGGGAAGCAGAGAGGGGAAGCATTAGAGAAGATAAGGCCTGTGTGTGCCAGCCTCTTAAACCAGACATTTAACACGTCGTTTGACAGGCCTCGGAGAGAGTCGGGTATTAGCTCTCTGGTGTCGGGTGAGAACAAGCCCTCTGATGGGCTCCTCCACTGCCTAATTCTGGGTTTAGATTTACCTGATTCCCAGTTTCTGGATGCTATGCTATCAGAGGGATAAGATTTTTTTTTCCTTGTCAGAAAAGCGTGGATGGTCAATACCAAAGCTACCGAGGTGAAGCAAACCTAATTTTAAATTCAAAACCACTGATCTGTAACGTGACCTTGGGCTAATTACATGCTCGCTTATTCAATTTCCCGTGTAGTCCTTTCTTTATCTTTAAAGGCAACAATACCTCTGGCAGAGGGGCATGTTTGAATGCGGTTCTGTGCTTATGGTGAAGTCTGACACTTGGGAAACCGCCAACAGTGTTAGGTATCATCACTATCTTTGCCATAGTCCGCCCCAACATTATTCAAGATAAGTTTATGCTAACTTTCCGTGTTAATGTAAACTGAATATAAAATCTTAAAATGCAACTTCCGACCTCAAGTATTGGCTCCTTATATTCTCATCGCTGTAAACAAAATGAGAGAGACTGAGTAATGGGTGAGGAAAAAATGGAGTGTTGTGGGTAACAATATACTATAAAGTAGCCGGGCGACGGTGGCGCACGCCTTTAATCCCAGCACTCGGGAGGCAGAGGCTGGCGGATCTCTGTGAGTTCGAGACCAGCCTGGTCTACAGAGCTAGTTCCAGGACAGGCTCCAAAGCCACAGAGAAACCCTGTCTCGAANNNNATATATAATAAAGTGTAAAGTTATACTATTCACTATTATATGCAACAACAAGAAACAACAGAAGTACATCATGTGACTACTTAACGCATTTGAAGACAACAGTTTGAAGTGCTTGGGGACTTCATTATTGAGTGTTCACTGCAGCGAGCTAAGAAGCTATGCAAACATTCAAATGCAAACATAAGTATCTCTTTAAATTCTACCCTCTGAAGAGAGCTAGATTTACAACCGTTAAGGTTAAGAAGATTTTTTACTTTGCAATCTTTCATAATCTTCTCTCTGCATCTGTACAGACCTGGGGAGAGTGAGCGAGTACGCCATACAGGAACTCGGCTGATGGCGGGAAAGACAGAGAAACGGTAAGCTTTTGGCTCCATGTAGCACGAAAGCCGAGCGTGTTCCAGGAGCGTTGGGGCTACTCGTGTTCCTGGAGTAGATGAATGTAAAGAGTTGGTAAACACAAGACAGTCCGACGAGTTAGGAGCGTAAAGATGACGGCCGCTTAGCTCAGGCAGTAGAGCTGAGAACGTGGTGTTGGATCTGGATTCATTTCAGAATTACACAGCCCCAAAGCTGTGTGTGCAATGAACGGGAATGGGCTCCGCTAATCACCCAAGTGCATAAGCAAGAGCTGGGAGCTGCCATTCGCTGGCTTTGGGAAGCCTGCAAAGGGATCTTGTCTGTGGTGGAGTCAGGAGGTACGTTTGCCCCACTATCTGGAATTTCACAGAGATATCCAAGATGCAAATAGAAACGGGAAGCCATCAGCACATTGTTATGGTCTCTGAAATCCTAAGAATGGAGGAGATCAGCTAGGGAGGCCGAGGCGGAAAGACTTTGAAGGAGGGGTGGGCTGTGCGGGTGGATGCTGCAAAACCAGCAGCGAGTAGAAGGAAACAGAGGTGGGAAACAGTGAGACTCCTCCGTCATGCTGCCCGTCATCCAGATCCCACGATAAAGCATCGATCAGAAGGCCGCAGTATGGACGTCATGACTCCACCACTCTGGTTAAAAACATGTTAATGCCTACTTAAACTTCTTTATCTTGTGAATGCTTCTTCATTCTTAATGCTGCCACTGGCTTCAGTGTGAGGGCAATCAGAAGAGGAACTATACAATTCCACCTGCCTGCTATGCCCCTAACTCTCTAGTTACAGGCTTCCCACGTTATTATCCGTATCTAGACTGTGCATGAGGTCCTGTCGGAGAGATCGTGGATTCAACCGCACTCCCATGTGTCACTGTTTTCTACATATGTTATGATTTTGATCATATGTGTTCCTTTCTTCTCTTTTTCTTTATTGATTTTCTTGAACTATACACTTTTCTCTCCTCCCCTCCAACCCTTTCCCATCGTCCCCACGTTCCCAATTTACTCAGGAGATCTTGTCTTTTTCTACTTCCTGTGTAGGTTAGTTCCACGTATGTCTCTGTTAGGGTCCTCATTGTTGTCAAGGTTTTCTGGGATTGTGATTTGTAGACTGGTTTTCTTTGCTTTATGTCTAAAAGCCACTTATAAGTGAGTATATATGATAATTGTCTTTCTATATCTGGGTTTCCTCACTCAATATGATGTTTTCTAGATCCATCTATTTGCCTGCAAATTTCAAGATGTCATTTTTTTTATCACTGTGTAGTACTCCATTGTGTAAAAGTACCACATTTTCTTCATCCATTCTTCAGTTGAGGGGCATCTAGGTTGTTTCCAGGCTATGACAAACAATGCTGCTATAAACAAAGTTGAGCACATGTCCTTGTGGTAAGATGAGTGTCTTTGGGTTATGTATCTAACAGCGGTATTGCTGGATCTCGAGGTAGATTGTTTTCTAATTTTCTGAGAAATCGCCATATTGATTTCCAAAGCAGCTGTACAAGTTTGCACTCTCACCAGCAATGGTGGAGCATTCCCCCTACCTCATATCCTCTCCAACAAAAGCTGTCATCAGTGTTTTTGATGTTGGCCTTTCTGATAGGGAATCTCAGAGTTGTTTTGATTTGCATTTCTCTAATGACTAAGGATGTTGAACATTTCCTTAAATGTCTTTCAGTCATTTGAGATTTGTCTGTTGAAAGTTCTCTATTTAGGTCTATGCACCATTTTATTATTGGATTATTTGGTCTTTTGATGTCAAGTTTCTTGAATTCTTTGTAAATTTTGGAGATCAGACCTCTGTCTGATGTGGGGTTAGTAAGGATCTTTTCCCATTCTGTAGGCTGTCATTTTGTCTTGTTGACTGTCTCCTTTGTTTTACAGAAGCTTTTCAGTTTCAGGAGGTCCCATTTATTAATTGTTTCTCTCAGTGTCTGTGCTACTGGGGTTATAGTTAGGAAGTGGTCTCCTGTGCCAATGTGTTCGTGTGTACTTCCCACTTTCTCTTCTATGAGGTTCAGTGTGGCTGGCTTTATGTTGAGGTCTTTGATTCATTTGGACTTGAGTTTTGTGAATGGTGATAGATATGGATCTATTTTCATTCTTCTACATGTTGATATCCAGTTATGTATGCCATTACCATTTGTTAAATATGCTTTCTTTTTCCATTTGATATTTTTGCTTCTTTGTCAAAAATCATGTGTTCATGATTGTAGATTGTTTTCTAATTTTCTGAGAAATCCCCATATTTATTTCCAAAGCAGCTGTGCAAATGTGCACTCCCACCAGCAATAGAGGAGCATTCCCCTTACCTCATATCCTCTCTTCATCTTCATGGCAATACCAGGCTGCTTTCAGTACTGTAGCTCTGTAGTAGAGTTTGAAGTCAGGGATTGTGAGGTCTCCAGAAGTTCTTTTATTGTACAGGATTGTTTGGATTATCCTGAGGTTTTTTTGTTTTTTTTTTTTGTTTTTTGTTTTTTGTTTTTTTTTTTTTTTTTTTTTTTTTTTTTTTCCATATGAAGTCGAATGCCGTTCTTTTGAGGTCTGTGAAGAATTTTGCTGGGATTTTAATGGGCATTGCATTGAATCTGTAGATTGCTTTTGGTAAGATTGCCATTTTTATTATATTAATTCTACCTACCCAAGAGCATGGGAGATCATTCAACTTTCTGGTGTTTTATTCAATTTCTTTCTTCGAAGATTTAAAGTTCTTGTCATACAAATCGTCCACTTGTTTGGTTAGAGTTACTCTGAGATATTTTACACTATTGTGAAGGGTCATGTTTCTCTGATTTCTTTCTCAGCCCATTTATCATCTGTGTAAAGGAGGGGTACTTAATTTTTTAGTTAATCGTGTATCTGCTACATTACCGAAAGTGTTTATGAGTTGTAGAAGTTTCGTGGTAGAATTTTGGGGTCACTTATGTAAACTGTCATATCATTCCCTCTGTTGTCTCTTCAGCGCTTGGGATTTTCTCTTCCATCTCTTGTATTCTGTTGTTTATGCTTGAATTTGTGCTTCCTGATCGTTTTCGCATGGTTGCTATTTCTATAATTCCCTTGGCTTGTGTTTTCTTTATTTTCTCTATTTCAGTTTTCAATTATTGAATAGTTTCTTTCATCTTTTTGGTTGCTTTTTCTTGGTGTTCTTTAAGTGATTTGTTGATGTCTTCCTTTTTTGTTTGTCTTTTCTGCCATTTCTTTGAGGGACTTTCTCATTTCCTCTTTAAGGGCCTCAAACATTCTCCTGAAGTTATTTTTATGTCATTTTCTTCTGCTTCATCTATATTTGGTTGCTCAAGTCTTGGCTGTTGTAGGTTCACTAGATTTTACTGGTATCATGTTGCTCTTTGTGGTGGTGTGCGGTTCTTACCTTGTCTACCCTTCTTTTCCTCTAATTAGTGTAGTTGGTGCTGTCTGTGACTCTGGTGATCCAAGGCTCAGATGGTTGCTCCTCATAGTGCAGTCAGTACCACAGTTCCAGTAACCCCATTGTTCACTCCATGTTCCTGGAGGTCACTCAGCGTTCCTGGTGAGAGGGGGTGGTTTGCCCCGCTCCTGTGGAGTTCATTGTCTCAGGCCTGCTCTGGCCTAGGTGGCCGTCTCAGACCTGTTTCTGTATATATCTCTGGTCTGGATCTACTCCTGCAAAGGTCCGTGCCTTGAGGTTGGTCCTACAAAGGTCTCTGGCTCCAAGCCACTCCCTCAGAGGTCCCAGACTAGGGTGTACCTATACCTGCAGAGGTCCTGGCTCAGGCCTACTCCCCTGAAGATTCCAGACTCATGCCTAGTCCTGCAGAGGTCTCCAGCTCTGGCCCAGTCCCTCAGAGGTTGCTCTCCTGTACAGTGTGGAGTTCACTGTCTCAAGTCTGCCCCAGCCTAGGTCTCTGGCTCAGTCATCTTTCCATAAATGTCCCTGATCTGGATCTGCTCCAACTTACAGGGAGTTCGCTATCTCAGGCCTGCTCCGACTCAGGTTGCTGGTTCAGTTGCATACACATTTCTACAATTCATTTATTATAAAACAAAAACCCTAGAATGTGGCCTTTTTAAAAGGACTCCAGGGCATTTTATTTATAATTTTTGTTTGTTTATGTTTTGTTTGTTTTGAGTCAGGTCTCATTCTGTAGCTCTAGCCTGGAATTTACTGTATAACTCAGGTTTCCTGTGAATTTACATTAATCCCCCTGGCTTAGTCTCCTGAATTCTGGGAGCACAAGAGTGCCCGGGGTATCGAATCATTTGATATAGTAAGTAGGTAGTCTTTGTAACTCTTCACAGGCAGATAACCTCTGGTCTTCAGTTATTCTTCTGCTTACAATCAAAACCTACTGAATTAAAATTTAACTTTTTAAATGTGAAAAATTACTATCCTAACTCTGACTGTGGTGTGTGTGTGTGTGGTCTGTATGTAGGCCTTTGGCTTTCCTGGTAACAGCACTGTCTGGTGACAAAGATAGATCCCTTGGCCTGGAGTAGATGATCCCACACTTTGCCAGTTTGGGGAAAGCTGCCACGTGGTATCAGATCTACATCCACATCTCAGGGCCTGCAGTGGCTTTTACATGACCCCTCCAGGCAATATATCTTACAAATAGTATATAAAAGGCAAAGATTTGATTTTCAGCTAAAGGCACAGGCCTGAGCCACAAACTTAGAAAAAGTGAACACATTTTCTTTCTCTCCTCAAGAAATTTAAATTCCAACGACTATATCATGATCCAAATAACACATTAAAGTTTTTTGCAGTAAGTTCTGTAACAGCACTCCATACATATACATATGAAGGGTTAGTTAGCCCAGCTCAGAGATATAAGGGAATTTGGGGCCAAACAGACTAATATGAAAAAACCAAAGAGCCTGAAGATGGGGTGTGCTGAGAAACACTGTCTCCTGCGTATGGCATAGCCACGTACTCATGAACTCACTGTAGCTCAAGATCAATGCAAGAACAGCCCACGTTTCCGATGCAGCACTACTTGCACTGAGGTTACAGAAGATAAACAAACAAAGGAAGGGCACGAAAGTGGGAAACGTGTGTTGAAGCATGTCTAGGGTATGCATGAGCTTGGTAGGTTCAAGATACAGAGGATTCGTGTGTGAAATTGTCAAAGAACAAACAAGCAACATTAAAAATAAAACAAAACCAGCTAATTCCATCATAGGGAGACGGAGGCCACAATAGAAAAAAAAAATGTGGGAAACCAGAGGATTCCAATGTCACGGACATGGGGGCAGTGGGGGAGGGGAAGGGCAGGTACAATTAGCAGCCTGGATTCAGAAAAAGAAGCAAAAGTAAATTTCATGAAAGTTGTCTGACCCAGTTACTCAGGGGTCTCTGAGAAGGTGGCTTTCCAAACCCTGTTTGTTCTCTGAATGGAGTACTGACGTGCAGCAGCCGCAGGGGCCACACTCTGGTTCATGGTAAACAGGGACAGTTGGGGAAACACCTAGACAAGAGAAGCAGGCGTGGGATCCTGTCCTGATAGCTGGGGGGAAGTAAAGTCTTCTTCCATCCTCCGGTGCTGACCAGATTCCCAGAATGAGCGTGTCCAAGTCCTAGAGGTACAGAGCAGTCCTGGCAACTTCTGGCAAGTGTTTGAGTTGGAACTGGCTCGTTTTTAAATGTGAAAGAAATGAGTCCATAACCACAGTATTTAATCCAGATAATGTCAAACAATCAAATACTTCTTCGACTTGAGGGATTGTTTTGGCACCCACAGTCTGTCCCATCTATAACCCCGCAAAGAATTGATTTCGATTCAGAGGCACTTTAGGCAAATTGTGAGGCTGCGAGACACACTTAATGCTGACAGATGCCAGGACGTGATGCGCTAAGGAGTCAGTATTTCAGAGCTCCGATGAGGGACAGGGACAGGCTTGGCAGCAAGTAGACCAGGCAGCTGGCCCAGAGTGCTCCGTGCCCAGGACACTGCCCTCTCTCTGTCTTTTCTACTCCCTCAATAAATAGCAGCCCCCCCCCACAAGTCATATCAGCCAATTGCATCTTAATCTGAATTTAGACAAAAGTACTTTCCAGACCAGAACTTTTTCTATTTTAAAACTAGGAACAACTACCGTGCCTTCCCTTAAAAAGGACTGTAGAGAGCTGGGAATGAGGCTCACGGTTGTAACATAAGCAGGAGGTGGAGGTGCGGGGCTCAGGAATCCAAGGCCAGCTTAAGCTGCAGAGTGAGACTCTGTCCAAAAGAAATTAAAACACAAACAAAAAGTAGCAACAAAGCTGAATCTGAAAGAGGCATAACACTGGTCACTCTCTGATGAGAATGGCACCCACTGTTAGCCTTTTGATTCCTGTTCCCTTTCCCGATAACAAGCACCCTCCTCCTTCTGCCCATGGTAATGAATCCCTCCCTCTTTTTGCAGTTTATGTAGCCTTTATCCAGCTCTACCTCCCTGGATGAGCATATGAATTTGATCTAACTAATTTGAGCATTAAATTCTCTTGAACTCCGTGGTGAATTTATTGTCGGACAAACATGGAGGTGGTGTTGGCGTGTGTGCATGCATGTGCACGTTTGCACAGGTGTGCTGTCGTGTGTGTGCAGGTCAGAGAAAGCTTCCATCGGGGGACCTGGGGATCAAACCAAGCTCATCAGTCTTACGTGCAAACACTTAATTCTTCCACACTGAGCCATCTTTGAGGTCCAGACTTCGGACTTTGCATAGCCCACATGGGAACTAAGTTACTGCTTTCCTTTTTCTTCCCAGTGGACTGTGTGCCAGGTGGTCCACATATGATGAGGAGGAGGGCCCTGGCTGAAGATAAAGTCAGGATAGAACGAGAGAAACAGTGAAGTTCTCTTCCATACTGTACACTGACAACGCAAACCGCTGGCATTTACAGTCATCTGCGTCTGAAGTTTGTCTCAGGTTTGAGTCATTTCCAACTAAACAAATCATCAGATGCTGCAATATTGTCTATATGATCAATCAGATTTCTTAATCAAACCCTCACTCAACCTTTGAAGATGTTCCACCTGCAGTGAGGTGAGGATGCTCCACCTGCAGTGAGGTGAGGATGCTCCACCTGCAGTGAGGTGAGGATGCTCCACCTGCAGTGAGATCTCACCTCAGTTAGCTACACAGGCTCTTTTGCTGTCAGAGAACTTTTCCTCCCTGTCATGAAGCCTGACTTCTCTTTACAGTTGCTAAATAGACATTTACATGGTTATTTAGCTAACTTAGCAAGCCCAGGAAGGGGGACTCTCTCTGTCCTTGTGTCATAGGCCCTGGAACTCTGACCCCTCCCAAGGAAAGGTCAAGATCACTCCCACAGGCTATTTAAACTGCTTCCCCAAAAATAAACATACAGTTTTCCCTCTTTCTTTCCGGTGGTCACGTTGGGGCTTCCGATTTCCCCTTGGAGCTACCAGGGCGCACGGGTGTCTAATTAAAACCTGGATATCTTTTAATTTGGTCTGATTTGGTTTGGGGATTATTTTGCATCAGCGGAGAGGCTCAGTTAGGAAAATATTCCTCACAGTGTGTATCGTGTGTTTGGAAGAGCAAGCGCTTTTCTCTAAATAAATAAATAAATGTGTGTAAAATTCTGCTAAGTTCAGCATGACCTAAACGACACTCAGCCCTCTCCATACATTCCCAGGCTTTCTATAAATCATTTGTCTCTTAAATATATTCACTTCCACGCATAAAACACTGAGTTATTAAAGCGCTGACCACAGGGAACAGACAGCTTCTCAGCTCCATCGTTTTAAGTTAGAACGAAGATTTTCAGAAACTGACTACCCTTCATTAAAGAAAGATAATCAGAGAAGGTAAAGCAGCATCCCCCCATTTAACTGGCGATGTGTGAGCACAGAATTGATACTTGAGGATTATAGCCCTCAGAAAAACGAGAAGGAGCTGCGTTGGTACCCCGGATCTGAGACGAGCAAGCGCTGCAGGTGTTTCTGACCCGTGAAAACAACGATTTGTCCATTGCGCCTTTGAGTGGATGGAAGACAAAACCTTGCTTACTGGGGGATACCGCAGCATCGCAAGGGACAGGAGCAGACCACACGGTTCTAGACTCTGAATGACTCCTTTGATGGATTGTTGAAATGTTTTCTGTGGCTGTGCGATGTGGGAGATGTGAGGAGCTGACTCCTGGTTTCCAGAGATTTCCTGATTCGCACCACTGGGGGCCAATTGGATGCCCTCTCTGAGCTAGTTAGCATCCCTCTTCCTCCCCAGCTTCTTGTAGACACTTTCTCTGAGGAAGTAAAGGTACCTAATTCTCCTTTCTCTTTTTGTCCAGAGAGTCCTAGCATTTCCACCGGAAGCTCCCCAGAACATCCATTTCTTCCTGGAACCCTGTTCTCCAGACTTGGCACCATCTCCGGCTCATAGGCTAGTACCATATACGTGATTATAAATGCCAAGAATATTGATAATTTGGAAAACATACCAATACAGTGAGAAATAAATCTGCCTAGGATTTACTTCCTGTGTCAGCCAATCTCAAGACTATTGAACAACAGATGAGAACTGCCATAATTCCACCGGAAGCTGACCTCTTCCGCAGACTCCGGTGAAGTCTTACTGTACACTAAGCTCAGAGTGGCTGGAGTGTAGAGACAGATGGTTCGCTTTTATCATAGTTTGTTCCTCTGTAAGTTTAAAAGTTCTCCTCCAAATAGGATCTCTAACTATGGTGATGTCCGTCTGCCCCAGTCTGATCTCATTTACTCTGTGGCCACACTCTCTGTTCTACTCTAAAAAAAAAAAAAAATCAGACTTCATCCATATGTCTATTTTTCTTTTGTCCTTAATGGTATCAACCATCATCACAAAGAACAAATAAAAGAACTGAGCTGGAAAGTCAAGGCATAAGACAACTTACAAAATGCTGTTTACCTAACCTAAGGTTTTACATATTTAAAAGGAAAACAATAAATATCTTCTATCCAGAAATTAATAGAAAGATAGTATGAAATGCATGATACAATATAGGAACATATATTTTACTTGAACATAAATTTGAAAAAGAATATACTTTTCTTCTTAGAAAGCTGTGGTCAGGAGGATGAATCTGATATTCCTGTGTAGGAGACGCCTCATGGTCACATACGCTCCGTTGTCACAAACCCAGGGACAATCCGGTCGCGTCGTCACAGGCCGGTCCAGGCAGATTCTTCTGTGGGGTTGCATCAGCCTGACCCTGCCCTTCAGCGTGCATAGGGTGGCAGTCAGGAGCACCAGAACAAAACAAAAACCAAAAACCGCCACATACAGATCAACTCGGAAATACAGAACCTCTTGAGAATATAAATATGGCATTTTCAGACAATGTTAAAGCACATCTTCTGCTTCGTCAAAAGGAATATAGTAAATAGTCTAATAATTTCAGTTAGCTAACTTTATACCAAAAACCAAGCTAAAGTTGGGGTCACACGTTCATGGCATGGGATAATTGGATCATCACAAATAGTAGGGGATTCCGGGTCATCACAACTTAATCACACAAATTCTAATTAGGATGAAGATTCACAGTTTCCAGGCCTATATTTTATTTTATTTTTAATTCATTTCGATAAGCCAGATGGCTCAAGTTTTGGGTTGTATCAAATGTGAGCATGATCCTGCAGGCATTGTATAAAAAAATTCGCGTCAGAAACTGACGCGGCGGCTACCAGTTGCTGGTAGTAACAGCTATTACATTACACATACTTTACCGAATAATATGTTACACATTTTCTCTTTAGCTTCTATTTGCCACCCAGCTTTCAATTTGCATACTAAATTAATCATAGAACTTTATATTTATAAGTGATTTAAATTCCTTGAAGCCCGGTAACTTGCTTGCTCTAGTAACATTTATCATAGATATTTATTGAAAGAACTAAATGAAGTGATATATACAGAAGCACCCCCACTTTTTCTTTATGAATTATATATTCATTTCTCTTTTCCTGTTGTGAGGTATAGAAACAATATTTTTGTCTTTTTTTCCCCCTAGCGATTTTGCTAAATGCAACTCCACATGCACCCTAACAGGCTAAAATATCCCAGACCTTCGCTGCTCAAGCTGCCCCCTCCCCATTTATTAGAAAGCTCCATGAGCTATTATTCACAAATCATTATTTCTAACGCCATTCTCTGAGGTGTGAGCATCTGCTAGCTGCTAACCGAGGGTGCAGCTGTTGTTCTGAGACTGTGCTGTGTTGCCAAGCAACCACTGCAAACCCCATCCAGGGGCAGGTTGCTTGCCCAGACGCACCTGCCTGCCGACCCAGATATTTATTTAATTAAAAATCTGTTCCTGCAGCACAGCTCGGCCGGAAAGGCAACAGCAGCGATCGATCACAACTATATTAAACGACCTCCTCACATTGTTTCATTGACTATTCATCGCAAAGCCAAGGTGTCTCCGGCCACTGCCACTCACTCTGAGCGACTTTGCAGGAAGTATGTGAGAGAAGACCGTGGATGGGTTCGATTTGCATTCAGGGATGCAGGAAAGCAAACTGTCAGGAGCATCACCGCCTATAAAATAATGTGCCCCAAATATCTCCCCTACAAGACAGTTTCTACCAAGATAGTGCTACAATTAATGGGAAGGGGGATATAAGATACATGCGTACTGCACTGAGAATTATATTCCCAGTGTCTGAGTTGTTTTATTTTTCCTGTCAGTTAGGAAATGACTGATCACTTTGGGTGCCTTAGAGTCCACTCTTTTTTTTAAAAATATTTATTTATTTATTTATTTATTTATTTATTTATTATGTATACAATATTCTTTCTGTGTGTATGCCTGAAGGCCAGAAGAGGGCACCAGACCTCATTACAGATGGTTGTGAGCCACCATGTGGTTACTGGGAATTGAACTCAGGACCTTTGGAAGAGCAGACAATGCTCTTAACCGCTGAGCCATCTCTCCAGCCCCTTAGAGTCCACTCTTAGATCACCCTGCTTTCATTCCGCTCTTCCTGTTTCACAAGTTGACAGAGTTGCCTTTAGGTTGACTACATTGTATTATGAATAAAACTGTCACAAATTGGTCCCCACCATTGAAAGTTTCTTTTCAAATCAGGCGTTGACAATCCTTACATATCTGTCAATAGCACCCTGTACTTTGAATGCCTCCCAAGGCACCCCATCCTGAGGAGCTACTGCATCCAGTAAAGTTTTGGGGAGTGAAAACAGAATCTTAATGGCAACTGCATGGCAGGTTTATTTTTACTGTTCGAGATACGGACTTTAAGCCTGGACTCCAGAGCTAAAATATCCTTCCCTCGTTTTTATGGCAAATGTTGAAGTCAAGAAGGATGTTTATTAGTAATTCAGTGTTTGTAATATCATTAAGAACAGCAAAAATTATTACTTAAACATACTAGAATTAATTCTTTTTGCACGTAAGAAAAACTACCTTGCACAGGTCGTTTGGTTTCAGGAAAAATATTCAATGAAATATAAATGGTGATAATTTTATGTTAACGAAGGCTCACATTTAAAGAATAAAACCAATTTTTTATAACAATGGTCATATTGGTACCTGTTTATGTCTATTAATCCCAAGTGCTTTGAACCCATTAGTGAAAATTTGAAATTAAGCTAAAAATAACAACTATTAGCATATCAGTATTCTTCCTGGCTTTATGCATTTCCTATCTTTATCCAGATACAAAACTCAGAAACTTCAGTTTCCTATATTGTTTATACTGTATTTATATCTACACTTTCCTTGTTTCTGAGCTTGATGCTATTCCTATTGCTTTTTGTGATTTTTTTTGTTTTTTTATACTTCTTTGTATGTAATCAATAGTTTTCTGCAACTGACAGCCAGACACATAACATATATACATGCATACACACATTATATGTATGTATATATAATATATACGCGCGCACGCACATATATATATGTGTATATATATATATATATATACACACACACACACGCATACATTCCCCCTCCCCAGATAATTAGCTGCTAGATCACATGGCAATCCAACTGTTTGTGTCTTAACAATGCTAGATCCAGAGAAGTGATCCATTCAGTATTCCAGGAACCCAATGCCCACGATAGTGAACTGCCTAATTTTTAGGTAAACACTGTTTTAAGTAGATAAACAACCTCATTTTTGAACTTTAATTTTCTTTCCTAGAAAACTAAAGAAGAGCCTGGAGGTTGTGGCACTTGCCCTTATTTTAATTCTTTTTGTAAATTGTTTTTATTGAGCTATATATTTTTCTATGTTTCCCTTGCTTTCTCTCCCCTTCCCTTCTACCCTCTCCCATGAACCCCATGCTCCCAATTTACTCAGGAGATCTTGTCTTTTTCTACTTCTCATGTAGATTAGATAAAAGCATGTCTCTCTTAGGATCCTCTTGGCTGTCTAGGACCTCTGGGATTGTGATTTATGGCTGATTTTTCTTTCCTTTATGTATAAAAGCCAATTATGAGTGAGCACATGTGATAATTGTCTTTCTAGGTCTGGGCCACCTTACTCAGTATGTGGTTTTCTAGGTCCATTTATTTGCCAGCAAATTTCAAGATGTCATTTTTTTTTTCTTCATTGTGTAAATGGACCACATTTCCTTATCTATTCTTTGGTTGAGGGGCATTTATGCTGTTTCCAGGTACTGGCTATGACAATTCTGCTATGAACAGAGTTGACCACATGTCTTTGTGGTATGACTGAGCATCCTTTGGATATGTACCCAAAAGTGGTATTGCTGGGTCTTGAGTTGGGTTGTTTCCTGATTTTCCAAGAAATTGCCATATTGATATCCAAAGCAGCTGTACCAGTTTGCATTCCCACCAGCAATGCAGGAGTGTTCCTTTTACCCCACATCCTCTCCAGCATAATGGTCATCAGTGTATTTGCTCTTGGCCATTCTTACAGGTGTAATATGGAATCTCAGAGATGTTTTGATTTTCATTTCACTGATGGCTAAGGATGTTGAGCATTTCCTTAAAGTGTCTGCCTTCTTTGAAGGAAGTAGAGAGCTGTTACTAGGAGCCAGTCTGTCTCTTTTTGTTATGAAAAGTCTTTTAATTTAAATATTTAAATATCCATATTCAAAGATCTCTGAACAGTTGAGGGCTGTTTACCAGGTATAAGTAAGTTATAGAATCTACCTGGAGAGTTGGATCCAAGCTTGAGTGTACTGGCTCTCAAATTAACAAGCAAGAGTTATACTTGTAAAAGACAGAAATAAGAAAGAAACTGTTTCCAATAGAAGGTTATCGTCAGAACTAACAATAGTAGAGAACAGCTTAATATATTTTAAAGCAGGGTTGGATTGCATATACATTATTTTTTGTAAGAGACTTAAAAGTACATGCCAATTTAAAACATAAGACTTACTGTTTTTGTAGTCTGGAATAAGATACAACGAACAGACAATTATAACATTTAACAGTAAATATATGTGCTATTAAGTGACATGTATATACATACACACAGCGAACAGGAATCGGGCAAAGTGGATG